ATGGGCGCGTTATATCGACCTCGATGTTCATTAGGAGGTTTCACATCAGCATGAATGATAAGTTTAAAATCATTCGTTGGTCTGTTTTCGAGATTATATTTAAAACTTTGAATATAAGTATTGTGATCGTGAAGATATGTTTGGAGAGCGTCGATAAGATCGGTTTTTAACGTTGGGTTTAAATTTGAGCGTAAAGATACCTGATCTGTATGGGAAATAAAATATATTTGCAAAAATTCGGTTTGTGCGCCTTCAGGTGGAAGTAAATTACCGATTAGATGGTAAACTTGCCCCTGGCCTGGATATTACACAATTATACAATATTAATTAACTTTAAAAGTGGGCATAAATTTTCCTTCACGAATTTCTTTGGCACCAAATGAAGTCATCTGAAACAGAGTATTATATTGTCTAGAGTGATTTAAGAAATGCTTAGAAGATGGATGTGAGCCTGATATTAGATCTTTAAGAATTGATGTTGGTGCTGGAATTTTAGGAATATTTATTTTGCCACCATTACAACACAGTCCAGGAGCTTCAGCCGGCCATTTTTTTGCTTGACATGAATTACATATTTTATTCATTCTGCAAATATTAGTACCATTTAGCTCAGCATCGTCAAGGGTATAATCATAAGCAAATGCTGAATTCAATAAATTATATTGCCTGCGAGTTCTGTTCCCTGCTGTTCGTGCATTTTGCTGTGCTAATCGATGGGAACGTTCAGCACTTGATTCCCGTTCCCGGTTTGCCGAAGTGCGTGAATTCTGTGTAGCTAAACGTTGAGAACGTTCAGCGCTTGATTCCCGTTGCCGGTTTGCCAAAGTGCGGGAATTCTGTGTAGCTAAACGTTGAGAACGTTCAGCGCTTGATTCCCGCTCGCGATTTGCCGAAGTTCGGGAATTTTGTGCGGCTAAACGTTGAGAACGTTCAGCACTTGATTCCCTTTGTCGATTCGCTGAAGTACGGATATTTTGTGAGACTAACCGCTGCGAACGTTCAACACTCGATTACCTAAAACGGTTTTGTTCACTGATCGCTCGTTGAGTAGCCAACCTGTGCAGATTTTCTTCGGGTGTTTCATTGCTGCGTAGAAGTCGCAATCGCTTTGCAGTAGCAGTCTGCCTAGAAAGCTGAGTTCTTTTTCTAGGCATAATAGTAAAGAGATAAAAGAAAAACCGTATAAAATTAAAACTTAATTAAAATAAACTGAAACGTAGTAATCAGGTAAAAGAAACGTAAGGTGAGTAATTATTAAAAGTCGTATGAAATATATGTCAAAGGAACGATCGTAAATGACTTCAAAAACCGCAACGCTGCATTCAACCGTTCCGTAGGGAGCCGACCACGCGTCTGAAGCGCGCGGCATGGTACCTTGTAAACCAAAACAAGCGGGCGGCGCGGAGGGGGGGGGGGGAGCGACAGGCGGCCAGCAAGCGTGGCCTCCTCGTCTCGCCCGCCGCCGCGTCGCCAGCGTCTCGTCTTGCTTGCATCAAGCGCGCGTGGATTTCCTTAGCAGAGTTATTTTAGAAATGTATTTATTATACTCTTCAAAGATCTTACTTACTATATTTCGAAAAAGATTATTACAGAATTTTATGTTGATAAAAAACTCTATGGTCCATAACTCATTAATAGGTACCAACTCTTTGAAATATCCGATTGAGATGAAACAAAAAGTTTTTTACTTCTACATAAATACTCTTGATAACATAATGCTTAATTTCGATAAAGATTAATATTACGATACATATTTCACGTAGTTTTTTTTCTTCAGACGATTTAATAATTAATTTGAACACAAAATCGGTTATTGTGATTAAACCATGATAGCTAGATATATGTTCTCGCGGACTTTTTTGTACGTCTTAATGGGATCTACAAACCCGTAGTACATCATTTTATTTTATTGTCAATAGTTATTGCAGCGCACGCAAAAATAGGTTTTCGATTTTACACCTTGTGTTACAAAATAGCAATTTTATTACGGATCCCTAATCTTGAAAAAAGAAAACATAGCCTATAGCCTTCCTCGATAAATGGACTACCCAACACTGAAAGAATCATTTAAATCGGACCAGTAGTTCCAGAGATTAGCGCGTTTAAACAAACAAACAAACAAACACTGCCGCTTTATAATATTAGTATAGATTATATGATAAATTGTGCGTCCTTTGTTTTGTGGATGGAACAAAACATATCATACTGTGTATTGGATTCTCTGTCTACGATTATAATGTATCTACACGTGTGTGTAAAATTATTAATTTGTTGTTAATTGTTATGTCTGAGTTTCGTAGTGATAGACGATGGTTTTTTGTGCGCAGATTTCCCCTCGCAAAAAATTATAGGCAGATTTGTATCGCGAAAAAACGCTATGGCGCTATGGTATTAGCTTATTGTAAAGAATTTAGGGAACAAATTACACCTCAGATGAGGATATATGTTTTAAGACTGTTGTCTGCTTAATAAGTTATTCATTACAACAACAACGTTTTCGGTGTAACTCACTCAATCTCGCCAGAGACTAGTATGCAGCGTTGCCAATATGTGGGGAATTCCCCAAACCCAAACTGCGAGAAACTTTTGCGGAGAAACTTAAGTTGATTGGTAATTTTCGAGGATTACTGTTATGCGGGAAAGTTTTGGTGATTTTGAAAATCTGACAGGGCCCGGGCTATCGAACCCTTTTGTAAATACTTATCTCAACCTTTTTGTGAGGTTACTTATGGATATCAAGTGGCTCCCTTTTTTAATTATGTTTATTGCACTTCATTTAATTTTCCGATTTATTTTGGCAAATTGTGTATGTCAATTAAAGCTTTTTCATTTCTTTATTTTTTTTATTTTAAAGCAAAGAACCGTACTCATATAAATGTAGATACTGTGGTCCTTTTTTATGGTACCAAGATAAGGAATTAAAAACAATCCATGAAGTAAAGTGCTTGTTAGAAAAATATGGAAAAGTGTAGAAAATATTCATTAAAAACGAAAAAAGGTAAGTTAAAAAAATAAATCTTATAAAACTAGTGGCAACTTGTTTCATTTCCTAAAATAAAATTGAGAGGAATTTGTGAGGAATCTGTTGATATTTTGTCCCCAAATTGGGGAATTTGACTTGGATTTTCGAGGGAATTGTAAAATTGGCATTGGCAACGCTGCTAGTATGTTCCTTGGTATACTTCTTGTATTACTATTCAGTGAGTTTTGGCGGGAACTTGACCAGCGACAGTTTGCCCCGCGTGTATTATTGTTTGAATAATGGTTTGAATTGGATTTTGATATGTAAAAGTGGCGCGATTTTTTGTATTAAGTGTCTGCGCATGTGAACTATTAGTGGAAACGGAGAAACAAGTACTCTGATGGTGATGTGATTCTCAAGATAAAGTGTCTATCTGCTTAGACGCCTTGAAATACCATCGCCAAGTGTCAGCTGTCTGTTGGCTCAAGTTGCCGTCAAAATCTCCCAAGGGCTACACAATGTGACGCATTCACATATTGTGAAGCAGTGTACTATGAAGGGTAATTATACATTGTAACTTCAGGTTCAGAAGGGCTAGAACTCAGAGCCGTAAAGCCAGTTACAAAAACATATTTTGTTGTCTGGCTTAAACATGTGCCAACTTGGAAAAATTACAACTCGAATTAACTGTAGTTGAAATTCGCGCAACTCGAGTCTAAACTCGAGTTAGCAGTACGAAACAAAGTAAATGATTTGTTACAAATTACTTTTTTATAAATTTGTTTTTCTATCTAGCTCTTTGGTGGATTGGGATAACTATAATTACCAAACTTATTATGTAGAATTGAGATAAAAAGGTATATTTAGTATGTATCACATACTTATATCTTTTTGGTTTTGATGTTAGTTAAAGTAAGTACCTGTATTTAACAACAAAACTAGCTATATAGCAGTCTTTACGAAACAATATTAGTCTAACTTGAAGGTATAGGTATATAGGCTATTAATAGTTAATTATCACAGTCAAAATATTCATAAATAAATTCAGACTTTTTCAAAGACAAATATTTATTGTAAGTTAAGAGTTACATTGGCGTTAATCTAAAATATAATGTATCTTACAACTTAACCGCTCTTTTCGGGTATTAAAATAATAGGTATGTGACTTACGTAGCTATAATGATCATAATTAATCAAAATTATAAAAGAAATGAAATTATATAACTTAGCTATTATAAATCTCTAAATAACAAATTGTTTTGGTTGTACCTAAATACTCTTTGAAACACAAAGCGTGCGAACGAAGGAATCGCGTTCTTACTCTCATGCTGGCTCACTTGATCGTTCATGTACATTGTACAGCAGCCCAAACTCGAGTTAGGGAGATCCAACTCGTGTTAACTCGAGCTGACCATCACTAGTCTAAGTCTAGGTCTAATTTAAATGTCGGTTTTTGGCGGGAACTTGTCCGGCGGCAGTTTGCTGCTCCTGTATTATCGTTTAAATAATGGTTTGAAGTGGACTTTGATATGTAAAAGTGGTGCGATTTTGTGTATTAAATGTCTGCGCATGTGAACTATTAGCGGAAACGGTGAAACAAGTGCTCTGATGGTGATCGATTCTCAAGATAAGCTGTTTGTTTGCATAGGCGCCTTTAGATACCATCGCCAACTGTCAGCTGCCTGCTGGCTCAAGTTGTGGTCAAAATCTCCCAAGGGCTGCACAATGTGACGAATCAACATATTGTGAAGCAGTGAACTATGAAGGATAATTATACATAAAGATAGGCTGTATTGTATAGTTCCTTTGCCTGCTCTCTCGAGCGAATAATAAAAACAACAACAACTAATTTAAATGTCAATGTCAGATGTTAGTTTCACTCGTTTATATTTGTTTTTAATTTTAGCTAAAAAATTAAAAATTTCAACATTAAAAATAATGTACATTTATAATATATTTTAGCTTTGAAATTTAATGACTGTTTTGTTGGCAAGTGATGTCAGTGCAATTTTAAAACGAGTTTATTATTGGCGGGACCATGGATTCCGCAAAAAAATCAGGTCCTTCAATTGAACCGGTGGCGACTAATGCAACAGATGCTAGTACGCCTGCGGTAAGGAATGGAATTGATTGCTTGAATTGATAATATTTATTACCATTGCATTTGAAGTGACAGTAAACCTACCTATAGGACCTTATGATGAATATTCTTAGTCTAATGTACTTTTACTATGTTGGCTTGTTATGTCCAAAATGGTAATAATTGAATGTAAATGTTTAAAAGACCCGACAGCCGATGGGGAAGAAAGGTTCTCGAGTGGCAGTCTCATACCAGTAGGGGAAGTGTGGGACGGCCCCCACTAGATGGAATAACAACCTGGTAAGACATTCGGGATGTTGATGGATGCAGGTGTTTCAGAACCATGTTTGTGGCATTCAGGGCAGGCCTATGTTCAGTAGTAGACTTGTGAGGGGCTATAATGATGATGATGATGAACTGTTTACAGGAGATTGTCATCCATGCTAGTATTGTAAGTTTTGACAAGTCAGTCATAATATTTTTATTCATAATTTGTCTTTACAAAGCACTAGCTGGTAGAACTACTTTTCTGCCTATGAATCTGGGAAGGTATCAACCTCTTACTTATTTCTGCCACTAAATAGCAGTGCTTGCATTACTGTGCTCCAGTCTGAAAGGTAGAGTCAGTATAATTACACGCTGTGACGCAACCCATCTTAGGCCTCAGAGGTGACAGCTCATCTGTAGCCTTCTTTGTGTGATGTTGGCTGCTGGTTTCCCATAGACTGCAGTTGCTACTTTTACTTCGTACTGTAAGTTTGTTTGTCACTTCAGTTTTATAAAAAAAAACTTTGAGTAATACTCTTTACTCATAGTAACTATTATGACACTGCAATTTCTCAATAGAGGGAATTGCTTTAAAGTTTAGACTTGTCTAAATTCTTGAAGTATGACAAGGTTTTGCCGTATGCAATCGTTTTATTGAATAATGATTGTTGTTCTCAATAAGTGGGTTTTGTTGTGTTGTTTATGCTGTAATAGTAATCATTTTAACTTACCCCTCCAGGGCAAAATTATTACACATTATTTAGGCAGGGCATGTTAATTATTGGTTTTCTACCGACTTCAAAAAGGAGACGGTACTCAATTAGACTATGTTTTTATATGTGTGTTACCTCATAACTTTTTTCTGGGTGTACCAATTTTGGTGATTCTTTATTTGAAAGCTGGTACTTCTCATGTGGTCCCATATAAATTTGATCAAGGTCTGACCAATAGTTTTTGAGTTATTCTTAATAATTTATATTGAAGTTGGTTTTACAAAATTTTTAATTTTAAATTATTATACTTTATTGTTTGCTATAGGCAAGAAACTGGTGCAGTGTTAATGAGCCTTATAGTTAAGGCCGATTATACAACACAATAGTATTTTATAGAAGTGATAGTATAATATCCAGTTTAAATTTACCAATTTGAATGGAGAGGAAAATTGAAATTCAGGAAAAAAATACTTCTGAAAAGTTCAAAAGAATTTTTTTATGTAAGATTTTGAATTGGTATTACAGATTATAACACTCAACATTTTAGTTTATATTACAACCAAAGAGACTTAAATATATAGGTATACTAGAAAGCAAACATAGGGAACATTTGCATACAAAAACTTAAAACTCGCGCATGTGTGTCGCCCTCTATCTAAACATGCAAAACTTTGCTGAATATTTATTAGCAAAATATTTCAGCTATTTCCCGGTAGGTGATGCTAATAAATGTAAGGTAAAAACCGGTTTTAGGAATGTTACTGTTTCGACATCAAAGTATTGACCATGTCGTTGAAGGTTACTAAGTTTGTAATGCTTTACGATATAATAATAGGGAATATGCATGCTTTTTTTATTGTATAAATCTATTTATTATGACTCCCATCACACCAAAAAAATCATATAAAATTTTTAAGTCATGAATAACGTCATGAATGAAATGAAACATTATGATTATGAATTTAATTGAATAAACAGGCTGTTTTCCGCAACTCCATGTCTAAGCGCGTATTTTCTGTGTGGGCAGGAATAATGTATTTATTCCAGCTTTGAAATCTCCCCGAAAAAGTTCAACAGTCCTTTGATGTTGCAACCAACTTCGGGGAGTGATCCCGGCGTGCCTAGGTGTTTAGCCCTGTATACAGCGACTTCCGCACACGTCAGCAACACGTGGGTCGCAAAGGGGTTTGGTATAATTGGTTCTGGCCCTATAGTGGCCAGAGCCGATCCTCTTCTGGCCAGTTCGTCTGCTGCATCGTTGCCTCTGGATACACTGTGTCCCTTAATCCATTGCAGATTCACATTGTTATGTTTACATACCTTATTTAATCGTTGGTGGCATTCATATATTAGTCCTTAGCTCACCTCATTGCAGCTCAGGGCTTGTAGTACCGCCCTACTGTCAGTCAGTATTCTGATGGAGAAGTCATTAACCTTTCTAACATCAATTGCTATGGCCACTTGAATATTACCCATACATTCAGCCTGAAAGACTGTGTTGTAGGTACCCAGCAGTGTGCATATGTGGATGTTGAGGTCTTCAGAAAAAGTTCCAGATCCTACACCTTCATTTGTTTTAGAACCATTGGTGAAGACTAAGCTCTTTTGGGCTTAATCCTTCAAGCTGGCTGGTTTCATTTAATTGTATCTTATACGTTATGATATAAAATATTTCATTTCCATTAACTAACAATCAATTCAAACAGCAGTCACATTGGCGGCATCTTGGATAACGTCACTAGGTCTATTAGACGCTATATAATATACAGTGTGTCCGGTCACAACCTAGCGATCATTTAAGGTTACAAAATATACCTAATTTCATCGACAAAAACACCCATATATGGGGGTCTACCTCCCCTCCTGTCGGAATGGCCGCCATTTAAATTTTTTTAATTCTTGTAGATACCTCGCGCTTACATGAGGCTCTACATACATGACCCTCACAAAAGGGTCATTTCAAACAGCCCTAACTCATCAGTTATGCAATTAAGAACAATAATTTTAATGTCAATTTGTAAGTAATATCCTTAAGTAGTGTTAGTGTGCTAGTTTTTGAAGTATGTTAAGAAAAATAAAAAAAACAGTCATTTTTTTACTTAAATTAGCATTGTAAATTTTTTTAAGATATTTTGTAAGGAAAACTTTCCATGATGTTTATTTTTATTTGATAGATGCTATTTTTACTTTTTAAATAACATTTTTTTTACATCTGTAGGACCTTTCTGTCCAGAGAAATCTGCATCTTTTAGCAGAGGTATCTGCAAGAATAAAAAAAAATATAAATGGCGGCCATTCCGACAGGAGGGGTGTAGACCCCCATATATGGGTGTTTTTGTCGATAAAATTAGGTATATTTTGTAACCTTAAATGATCGCTAGGTTGTGACCGGACACACATAATAATAGCATATGATTGGTCGTTCGGCATCAAAGGCACATTGCGAAACATTAAATCTAATAAGAGAGCGCCACCATGTTTTTCAAATTCGTTTGTTTTACAAAAATCAACATTAAATCTAACATGTTTTAGGGAAGTACTCTTAAAGTAAACCTAAAAGTCGTCACACAATAAATTATTATACAAATTCACAAGTTTGCATACTTACCACTAAAAGGAACACATTTATCTTATCGTCTCAATTTCGGAGCACTTTCTTTGTTGCCGCAGCCATTAGCGGAATCTTCGGCGTCAACGTATCGAATGACCTGCGGTAGCAGGGCCACTTGGAATTGAAAGCTAAATTGGCTTCTAAAAAGCTTTGTGTACTCAGTAGAGGGCGACAGTATTTCGTGCATGCAAACCGTTTGCCTTTACAAGCGCAGATTCGGCCTCACGCGGAATACTATTCTCATCTCTGCGCCGGGGCTCCCCAGTGCAAGCTCTTGCCACTTGACCGCATAGAGAGCAGAGCGGCTCGAATCGTCGACGACCGAGTTCTCTTTGATTGGTTCCATTCACTGGCGCTGCGTAGAGATGTTGCATCCCTTTGCATTTTTTATCGTATTTACCTCGGAGAGTGCTCTGAGGAATTGTTCGGATTAATTCCAGCCAACAAATTTCACCAACACACATCGCGAGAAAATTTACGCTGATGCTTGGCTGCCCACTACCGTGCGATTTATTTGGAGTTTTCTTAGGGATTGTGTACCATCGACGATGTTTATGGACTGATACGGCTTATGGACCTTCAAGAAATGAGCTTACTCCTTTTTAAAAGGCCAGCAACGCATCTGCAATTCTACTGGTGTTGTAGAATTGTATTAAAATTTTAAAAAGAAGGCTATCTTGTTGACTGGTCGTAATTGTTGTACTGGCTGACATAGACGTTTCACGTTAAAACCAACTTCCGTGTGCCCCAACACAGGCCCACCCGATTTTTTATTGGTATGGGTCACGTTCACTGTTTCACCTCCTTAAATATTGTAGATGATTAAATCTGCAACTTGAATAATATTTTTATCGATAGCACCAATCGATAAACATTGTCAATTACTAACACATTTTGTGACGTTACTGGATAACAGACGGCGCTTATTACCATAATGATAAATGTTCTAGAACAATGTACCAGATATAATAAAATTTAAAAAGTATTGGGTAATACACACATAAACATTATACTTGCAATAATAAACCGAAATCACATTAAGTTTTTGCTACATATCGGGACTTACAATACCTTAATGCACAATCGGGCATATTTTATTTAAAATCTATTTTTGAAATTTAGGAAACGAATGCGTCTTGGGATTTTGACGATGTCACTAATCCTATAAGACATAAGTAAGAGGTGATCATTTTGTTGCTGATGTCCGGTCTATTACCACTACTTAAATGTCTTTGATAACAAAAAAGGCCTGTTAATAAGCTTAAAGTTCAAAAGTCTTTTATAATTCTTCTGTAAGCATGTTAAAGCTAAAAAGAAGAAAAAAAAAATTTAATATACAAATCACGGGACAGTGAAATGGTTAAATATTATTGACACAAACACAGAGAGCTAAGCTAAAATTCTTTACTTTGACCTTTCACAATATATTCCTATCAATATATGTTGTTTTTTTTAATAAAACTAGTAAACTATTCAGCATACATTCAACTCAAGATTAAGGTTATTTGCATGAATTACTTATCTTCAATTAATTAATAAAAAATTAAATTCAATAGGCTTTTTTGTACATTAAAAAATTCTATCCCAAACGGTTCGCGGTCTACGCCATGTTTTGTAAAATTCCGAAAATTCGTACTTCTACTCACATTTATGGTCATCACGTCCGCAGTTTAATGCCTAGATCGGATTTTTTTCTTTTAATGTGTTCCCTAATAATGATGTTTCTAAATTACCCTTAAAAGATTTCAACTACTATGGGTAGTATTTTACAAGACGGCACTAAACATAAGTTTAAATTTTTTACTTTATTTAACTGCTAAGATTTTTTTTTTCACCACACGTGCTCAACGTGTGGTGAAAAAAAAAACGTATAGGATCTGTGTGACCAACCATTTAAAAATTATGCCTACATCATAAGGATTCCAAAACGTCAGCATACCATGTACTTAATGTCATTAATTACTGAGCTATAGCCGTTAATGTGTAAAAGTAGGCATTTCATTACAAAATTATTGGCAGATAGTTTTTTTTTAATTCTTAATCTAAGTCTCTCTTAAATAATTAATTTAAGTCTTTATTAGGTAAGTACATTTGTCGCCCTTGAAAATTTTACTTTACTACCTGTTCGCCTTGTTTGGACGAATTCTAAGCTGTGTGAGCGAGACAACAAAAAAATCTAATGGGTTAATATCAGGTGATCTTATCGATAACCGTTTGGGATAGAATTTTTTTTTAGGGAACCGAGGCCACCTCCCCCTCGCCCGAACACGTACGTACCAGATTATCCACCATTACTGGGACATGGTGTATATATATGATTCTATTAGAAGTTCAGGACATGTATTACTTGCCCGTCTTGTTAGGTATCCATGTAGTAATTTGTAAATATTGTCACAGGTGCCATCGTCAGATGAAAATGTGAGCAAACCAGAAGTATCAAAGCCCATTGTCTTGTCTAAAGGAGTTGAAAATGCTAAGAAGAGACTTCGAGCATTCTCTATTCAGAAGAAAACGCCTATTGCACCTGTTGTTGTCCCTAAACCTTGTGGCACTGGAAGTATGTATTATAGGCATTGTGTATTGATTTGTCTATTTAAATTTGTAACTTTGTTGACAAAATTCTTATTAATATAAATATCTTAAAAGGAAATCACAGCATAATATTACACTGCATTTAATGTATACAAGTGTGTATATTGTATGTATATACATATATTATATTGTATGTTGAGTGTGTATACAGGGTTATTTTGCAATAACCGGCTAAATTTCAGAGAAGAGAAGTTTCAGAATAAGTAATATAGGCAAATGAAGATGAAATATTAATTTTAAATAATGTCAAGTATTCTGCCCTTTTTATCTTTTAAATTCAAAATATGTGGTAATGCATTATTTTAACTGATTTTACTGTGCACGCACACATTCATAAGGGTCGATCGGTAGGCAAAAACATTGTTTCCCATAAATCACATTCAATTTGGGATAATTTGAAATAAAAGTAAAGCCTTATTTACTCATATTTTCAAAAACTATTATAATGGTATATCATTATTTATATATTGGAACTTGAGTTTAAAATTTGGCTACTCTTTGAAAAATAACCCTGTATTATTATGTGTTAAAAAGTGTTAAAAGGTATTTTCTTAAAATGTATATATGTATGAAATGCTTTAATAATTTCATGTAATATGTCTATTCTTATATTTGTTTAGGTACAACAGTTTTAATTGGGAAGTTAAGCAATGTGAAATCAACAACACCAAAGGTTGATGATGGTGAGCAAAAGAAATTGCCGAAACCACCTAAGCCAGGCTCCAATAAAAAATCTTACCAAGGTAATATGCTAAAATCAAATTTGCATTAATAATAGACCATATTATTCACACATAGAAGAATGCACAAAATACATCATAGAGCTATGCTGCAGCTATATTATGGTTGTAGCACAAAACGGTTGACTCGACGGTGGAAAAATATGATATCATAATAAAATATCAGCTCAGTGCAGCTTTGTTTCATATAGTAATTGTAACCAGAGATGTATGCTACTGGAAACGAGGTATTCCATCGAGAGGTGGCTACACTATTGCTTTAGGATTCTCAATTGAGGATACATGTTGATGTCTATGGGCCAAAGCATACACTCACTATAAGGTGAACTGTCTTTGTTTGACATCTTTATTCTGTAAATTCCCCAGATGTTGTAATTGTTCATTGGCAGATGTAGAGTGTAGCGTCGAAACTCACTTTGAGGAAACTGATCCTGTGTCCAGTATTCAATGTAAATTACATTTTGATTCTTGATTGTGAATATCTAGATGTGTCAATAAGTAACAGCTTTCACTTACCATAAAACAATCATCCCTTTTAAGTAACTTCATGAAAGTAAACACACTTTTATGATATCGTCGATACATACCAGCCTTTTCTCTTTAAGCAGGGTAAAAACTTTGTGTAATCTAATGAACAACTAATATATGGGTGTTGCATTTTAATTAATTTAGTAATCCAATCGCTTACAGATTCATACTCCGATCTTCAGAAGCGTACATTAGCCGAAATTGAAGATATGAAACGCAAAATGGAACTAGTGGAGTTGGGCATACCTTTGGGCTTAATATGTCCCACTTCGACCAGCGAGAAGGCTATGCCTACAAAAGCTATGCCACCAATAAAGCACTTCTTAGGTATGTATTTAACAGTTGTAAAACAAACTTTGACATCTTTGCTTTATAACTACTTTACTTATATTCTATAATATAATGTTAAGCAAACAAAATAGCTTATTACAAATTCAATAAAAAAATTCAGGCTACACTTTTACATATGTAGGATATAAATTCAATGCTTTTCTTTTTGCATTAGTGATTAGCTAGGATATATAAATAGTACTTAAATACTCACCCCTGTCACCCAGAGGGGTGACACACCTCTTTCGCCTCCTTTACGTCCATATACCTACGCATACATGCTCGTCGGTTAAGGGTACTATTAACTTTCGGCTAGGGCGTATATTCCCGTCTCTGCCGTTCACTTTGCAACATTACTTTGTCACTCTTTTCTCGTTCATTCTTGCTACATGACCAAACTATCGAAGCATTCTTTTCTTAATCCTGGTCTGATCACAAATTCATCTTGCAAACCACACTTTTCCCTTATTATTACCTACTTAAAAAGATAAAGTTTTTTGTATGTAATAATCACACACAGTCTTTCTGATGGTAATAGCTTACTGCAGCTCATGGCACCTGTAAATAACTTCAAACAAAAAAGGTGGTTATGCCCGGGGAGCGGCCAACTCTCCTCCGCCGGGCAAGGTGATCGGCCCAGGCAGCGACCAACGCACCGAGTGGTAGTTTGGAGCTGTTCTATATATAGCGCGTTAACTTCAAAACTTTGATAGCGTGATTTTAGGCTTTGGTGCGTTTCGCTTACGGCGCGACGACAGCGCTGCCACATCACCCCCTTGCTCAGACCGGAGATTTCCCGTCGGGCAAGTGTTCTGCCCTGGGAGCGGCCAATGCTCCCCCGCCGGGCAAGGTGATCGGTCCGGGGAGCGGCCAATGCTCCGAGTGGTAGTTCAGAGCTATTCTATATATACTGCTTTACTTCGGAACTTTGATAGCTCGATATAGGCTTCGATGTATTTCGCCTGTGGCGCGATGACAGCGCCGCCACACTAGGACTCCTTTTGAGCCTAGGAGTCCGTCCGGGCACCGCCGCTTACCTATTTATGTAGCCAAACAGAAGTGTGTACTGCTGTGTGTCGGTTTAAAGAGCCAGTATAATTAGACTGTAAGACATTCTGTCTTAGTTCTCCTCTATTTGAACTTTATTGCAGGTGTCCATGGCCTGCAGTAAGTAGTCACTTACCATCAGGTGGACTGTATGTTCCTTTGTCACTTCAATTGAATCACAATGGTAATCAAATAATAATTATAATCATGTTCTTTTACCTAATATTAAGTTGACAAATTGAACTAACCGTCCTTCTAATGGAAAATGGCTACAAGATACATTAGAACCCCTGAGTACAAAGATGGAATGCCTCACAGTTTGTTATTATACAGGATTCTCACCTATCAAATAGAGATAAAGCATTGGCTGCACTGCTGCTTGACATCAGAAATAGTTGGTATTTTTTTGTTGCTTTATACTATATCATGTATTATATTGCAACAAAAAAATAGTGTTCTCTAAACCGAATCACGGTCACGGAAATAAGTCTTATCATGGAATAGTCATCTCACTTTAATAATTCGACACAGGCGCTCTCATTTTAATAATTCGATGTGGCGACAAACCGGCACAACCGGAGAGAGATCACGAGCAGGACCAAAGTCCGTCAAATTGTTGACTCCAGGCTGTTACTAATTTTTTTTAAATAGTACATTCCATAATTATTGCTTTTGACCCGATCTGGGGATCTGGAACTCAAACCCGGATCCACATGATCCAGCTTTACGATCGCTAGACAAACGAGGCAGGTGGTCAGTAAAAAAAAGCTTTACATCGATATATAATATGTACTACGACATATAACTCAATGCAGCATTACGTGATATACATTTACTGAAAATTAAACATAAAATAATTATTAATAGAAACAGGAGTTATTTTGCGGAAATCCATTATGTTATAATTGCTAAAAATTACTTTACTTTTATCCGCTTAATTAAATAAAATGATGTGTCATACCTAGTTTGACGAGCACCTTCCCAAAATTTCCGAAAGAACAAAACGCAAATGATGATAGAAACTAATTCTTATTAGTTCCTACTGTTTTTGCACGTATGTATGTGTGTGTGACATTTGTTCGATTCACCAAACAGTTGAAACTATGTGTGATTAATTAATTCAAACAATGTATAAATAGTCGCGAATTATTTAAATATAATTATTTTTTTCTACGTGGTAGAGCCATGCTGCAGCTATATTAGTAGTATAGTTGTAGCACGCCCCAACCCGGCTGGTCCCCGTGAGGAATTAGACCACCACCCACCAACCTACAAAAAACAAAACAAACATACACTAGAAAACAACAAGAAAAACAAGAACATTAGCAAATACAAAAATGAAATTGACTTTGTTCTGACAAACAAACCAATGTGTTTCACCGATTTAAATGTTGTGAACAAATTTAATTTCAACACGAACCATAGAATGGTCAGGGCAGATCTCACACTACGACATACAAAGACACAAAGACCCAGGAGGAACTTTGATGGTAAGTTGAGTATTGAAAACCTAAAAGAAGCTGCAAATAAACTGACCGAAAGATGTGCAGACTTTGAGAAAGAAACCAAGAACCTAGATATTCAAAAGAAATACGACTGGTTTGAGACTTCAATCAAACTAGCAAAAGGTACCTGCACTAATAAAGAAAAGAAGAAAAGCTATTTATCAATAACAACAAAAAATTTACTCGAAGCAAGGAAACAAGTAATCAGTTCCAGAGACACAGAGAATCGTAGAAAACGCATATCAGAGTTGAGTAAAGATATAAAACAGAGTATGAGAAGGGATAGAAAGCAAAACAGAAGAAAAAAATAGAAGAGAAGAACAAAAAAAGCATATAAAGAACTGTCAGAATCAAAAGATTGGGTTACAAAAGTCAGAAATGAGAAAGGAATAGAACAAAATAGAAGATCAGACATAAAAGATATTGCTACATCATACTATAAACAAGTATATGAGAACACACAAGAAGAACCTGGTGAATTAATAGTACTAAACGATGATGAGGATGAGAGCAAACCCTATATACTGCAACGAGAGGTAGAAGTAGCATTACAGTCCCAAGGTAAAGACAAAGCCCCAGGGCCAGATGGCATTGAAAATGAAATCTTATTAATGGCAAAAAATGTCGTGTTACCAGTTATCACGAAACTATTTAATGAAATTTTCGCAATCGAAATTATCCCGATACAATGGACACAATCTAATATAGTACTGTTATATAAAAAGGGTGATAAACTTAATATAGGTAATTATTGCCCGATCAGCCTTATGTCCAACTTATACAAAGTATTTGCGAAAATACTGCTAAGAAGACTGGAAAGAAAATTATACGACAACCAACCAGACGAGCAAGCAGGTTTTCGTAGAGGGTACTCAGTATTGGACCATATACATGTTATGAGGCAGATTATAGAAAAATCCCATGTATACAACCAATTTTTTTTTATAGGATAAGGGTGACAAACGAGCACACAGTCCACCTGATGGTAAGTGGTTGCTGTCGCCCATAGACATCTAAATCTATCTTCAAAAAAACTAAATTATATTACATGGCATATATAGACTACAGCAAGGCTTTCGATTCTTTATATCACAATAAGATATGGCAGGCCCTAAAAGAACAAGGTACCGAAAGCAAGTACATAAGGATACTGAGGAAGATATACAAGGAAAGTACAGCATTCATACAGTTAGAAAAGAAAGGAGAACCATTTAGCATACAAAAAGGTGTGCGACAGGGCGACCCACTATCCCCAAAACTTTTTTCTGCGGCCCTTGAAATGATATTTAGAAGACTAAATTGGGACGGATATGGAATCAACATCGATGGAACTTGGTTAACACATTTAAGATTTGCAGACGACATAGTTCTCTTTGCAAAAACCCCACATGAACTGAATGTCATGGCAAATGATCTGGCATTAGTAAGTCACACGGTGGGATTGAAAATGAACATAGAGAAAACGAAAGTAATGATCAACGGACCTAAGAATGAAACCATCAGGGTTGGCCAAAGTGAGATAGATAGAATATGTGGATGAATACATCTATCTGGGCCAAATTATCTCACCCACAGACAACATGGAAAAAGAAATCAACAGGAGAGTAGCAAACGGATGGAAAAGATATTGGAGCATGAAGGAAATAATGAAAGATAAAGAATTGCACATATCGATTAAATCTAAAGTATTCAACACATGCATTCTCCCTGTATTGATGTACGGATGTCAAACATGGGCCCCTACTAAATTGAACAGTAAGAAACTGAACATATGCCAGCATTCGATGGAGCGAAGCATGATGGGAATCAGGAAAAAGGATCGAGTCAGGTTAGAAGACATTAGGAAAAACAAAAAGGTTCGTGAAATAGCAACAAAAGTCAGGAAACTAAAGTGGACATGGGCTGGGCATTTGAGTAGAGGGAAGGAGAAGTGGAGCAGGAAGGTAACAGAATGGTACCCCAGGAATGGCATAAGAAAGAGGGGAAGACCCCGAAAGATGAGAGGACGACCTGGTCAAGTACGCGGGTGTGACTTGGAGCCGGGTTGCCAAGGATAGAAACGAGTGGAAAAGGTTGGAGGAGGCCTTTGCCGATTGGCAATCAGCAGAAGACAACCTAGATTTTATATAAATTAAATATTAAGAAATTGTATTACGTACTGTTGAATAAATGGCTTTATTATTATTATATTAGTTGTAGCACGAATGGGTCGGCTCGACCGGGGAAGGACCACGCTCTCACAGAAAACCAGCGCAAAATAGCAGCTTAACACTGCTGTGTTTCGTATGGTGAGTGTAGAGAACCGGAGACCCTTTTTACTGGCAAAGAGGCATTCGATCTTAGTCCTCACGGCTGACAACGCATCTGCATAGAGACTCAAGGTCTTTATTGAGGATGGATGCAGATGTCTATGGGTCACAGTAACCACTTACCATCAGGTGGATTGTGTGCTCGTTTGTCACCCTATCCTATAAAAATAAAATTAATAAACAAAAAGCGATTTTACAATGCAATTAAAATGTTAGTTTTAGTAATATTTACTGCCACTACTCACCTAGCTTACCGTAACATTCTACAAACAATTGGTACACAAGAGGTGTACAAATTTAACATATAAAATGATATGTCCAGTTTGTATACTTTTTAAATACCTAAACAGACAGAGTATAGGACCTTAATTTGTTGTTATAATCGATGGCATCTTAATTTGTTGTTATAAAATTTTAATTCAATTTATTGTTGTTCCATAATCCACACCTAGAAACTACTTTAACTTAGTTCATTGTGAGATAAAATATTTTTTTGTCTTGTTACGTCTTCGCTTGTTTTGTGTTTTATTTTTATTGGGCATGTGCATAAAGGTTGCAGCTTTCGAGTGTACAGTGCACAAGGCCGCAGATATAAACAGAACCATGCGAAAACTGAGACTAGTAAGTCTGGTATGAGGTTCATAAGAATTTATTTTATCTTTATCTTGCAATTATTATGTTTTAATTAGAATTTTATATACTTTACTCTTTTAACGCTTTATTATGCAGCTTAAAAGTAGGTTTATAGTAGTTGTAATTATAAAAACATATTTCTATTGTAATTTTATATGTATAATATTGTAGGAAAAGACTTTTAGTCGGTAAAGGTTCATTAAGTAGTTGTAAGATTTTGATTGTAAAATGTGTAGTATAGTTCATATAATTTCCACTTAATATTTCCAAACTCTTTACACTCGGATTGTTTTTAGATCCGGCCAAAGTTGACGAAATCATTCGTGAAGCAAAAAAAGCAAGGGATGAAGGGAAGAAGTACAAATTTGATTATCAGAAGCTGCTGCCAAAATATGACAATCCATTTCAACGCAAAAAAGAGGAAGATAAAAACAAAACACCTGACAATCGGGGTCGAAGTGATTTTGATAGAGATAAGAAAAAAAGTAACAGATATGATTCTAGACGGTACTCTGATAGAGATAAATATAAAAATAGAGATAAAGAAAAAGGTAGGGATAAGAATAAAGAAAAAAATCACGACCGAGAAGAAAAACAGGCCACGGAAAAAGAAACTAATGTTAATTTAAACGACTACTTAGTTTGCGACAGTTGGTCGCTAGATAATGAGGACAAAAACAGTTCAAGCCCGAATGCTGAAGATAAATCCAGTAAGGTAACACAGTCAATAAAAGATACTAAATCTGAGAAAGCTATTTCGGAAAAAGCACGGGATAACGAATTAAACAACAAAGACATTATTAAAGAGTACACAATGGGACTTGTGAAGATGGAAAAACTGAAGCCAGTTATGGATTCATTTAAATTTGAAATAGATCCAAATGATGAAGAAATTCTGGATATATTTGACGCAGATTCTGGAATAGAAAAGTACGGACGTAAAACCAAGAGGCGTTCTACATATTCTCCGACGGATATGAAATTGATTGACTATGAACAAGATGACTCTAAAGATGTTTCAATGGACGATACTAATGATGATACTTTCTTAGAATCAGTTATTAATGAAATTAAGCAAGAAGATATAAATGAGGACATAAGTCAGGACAAGGGCTTAGTAGAGTATGATATGTCACCAACTAAAGATGAGATGGAAGTAGGTATGGGAAGCGCTCTGGATACGAAACGACGTGTTTCTGTAACCCCAGAACTTGATGACAGAATGAGAGATATACAAAGTCAGAGAAGTGACTATTCTGAAGGGTACCGTTCTTGTGAAAGTGGATACAAAACAAGCGACACCAGTGAAAGCGGATACAAATCAGTCGACAGTTACCGTTTGTCAATGGAGAAGGAGTTAGATGAAAATGTAGAGTCGAAGATGTCAAAGTCAACTGTTGATTCACTGGAGACGTGGAGCTTTGTTCTGAAGATATGTCAACCACTTCTGTTTAGGCATGACAAGAATAAATGTTACAGGTCAGTCAATGTAATTTGATTGCTTTTTGTTATTTAATTGGCAATCGGATTAGTTTTTAATACCATTGCTATAAATATGACAAGTTGTAGCGCAGTGTAAGCATATGATTTCGGCGTATTGTGGGCCCGCCATGGGTTCGAATCTCGCACTGAATTGAAATCGGTTCAGGCCTAGATATTTGTTCATATGCATTTTATGTATGTAAAACGCTTCGACGATTCATGACCAAATCGCTAACGTTAGGAAATAAATACAGAATTTTCAATGATACCGATACTTATATAAAAATATATTATAATAACTTCTCAGGTGGTATTTTAATTTTGTCTTTAGAATTTTAAACACCATGAAATCATTTTAATCTATGTTGGTAATTAAACTGTGTAAACAGGTGAAAGAGTGCATTTATTGCAGAGAGACCCGTACGAGTCCAAAGCTGTGGTACACCGAGAACCCAAAATTGTGCAACTGCGTGAAGGATCGTTGCGTCGTGTACAACGAGTTGCAGATGTGCAAAATGAGTCTTGTGGACAGGGTGTATGGATGTGACCAGTAAGTACCACCACTGCTTAAACATCGGCTGTGCCGCACTTAGCACGTTTATACTCGGCTTTGCTATTCCATTGCAGAGGCGATTACTGTACGTATCCAGACAGTTCATATGATAATATCATTATGCAAGTGTTGAGATTAAACCGTGTTGTTGTCGGTGTATAAATAAACACTACCCCATATCATCCATATAACGGTGGTATAGCCACGCAGCAGTTTTTGCTGCTGCACGTATGGGCCGGCTCGAGCCGGGTTGGTACCACGACCTCACAGAATACCGGCGTGAAGTAGAAGCTCTGCTGCTACGTTTCGTCTGGTGAGTGCAGGTGGCCGGAGGCCCAATTCCCCCCCCCCCCCCCCCCATCAACATGGTAGCGGAATTACACAATAGACTACCCCAGGAGGGTACCAGTACCCCTGGAGAATCCCTCGCTGAGCATCCACGACCATGTTATTCTAATCCTGAGCGTGGGTGCTCAGGCTGCCCCACGTATTATGGGGGGGGGGGGGGGCAAAATTCCGCTCAAAAACATAACTGCTCGGGGCAAACTGAGCAACAATACCAAGGCGACCCCTGCCACGCTATCCGTGAATTTCTGCAACATCAGGGGACTTCACTGTAACCTAAACGCCGTCCACTACCATCTCGAGACGGCGAAGCCGGCCTTGCCCTTTCTGACCGAGACGCAGGTTTCCTCTACGGCTGATATTTCGTATCTCTCCTACCCGGGGTACAAATTGGAGCACTCCTTTGTGCCTCGGGCTGGAGTTTGCGTGTATGTCAGAGAGGACATCTGTTCTCGATGCCTCGGCAGTCTTGAAGTTCGGACCTGTCCATCCTTTGGTTACGCGTAGACAGCGACGACCATCCGCGCGTCTACGGATGCCTCTATAGGTCCCATAGCGGTAATGCCGAAACAGACCGACTCATCGACCACGTCCAAATGGGTACAGATTCCATGCTACAACAGGTTCCATCCGCAGAGATCGTGATCCTTGGCGATTTTAACGCCCACCACGCCGAATGGCTCGGTTCACGTTTAACCGATCATGCGGGGAGATCTGTTTATGACTTTGCCTTGGCATATGGTCTGACACAACTGGTTACTTCGCCTACGCGGATTCCAGATGTGGAGGATCATACACCTTCCCTGTTGGACCTTCTGCTGACCTCTCATCCGGACGGATATCAGGTTTCCGTCGATGCCCCTCTCGGCTCTTCGGACCATTGTCTGATCCGGAGTGTGGTGCCACTCACGCTCCCCTCGCGGTTGCGTTTTGCAGGTTGCCGCCGTGTTTGGCATTACAGGTCGGCGGATTGGGACGGAATGCGGTCTTTCCTTGCTTCCTACCCATGGGGGCGGGTTTGCTTCTCGCCGGATGATCCCAGCGCTGTTGCTGACTCTGTCACTGATGTGGTGCTACAGGGAATGGAACTATTTATTCCATCATCTGTGGTACCCATCGGAGGCAGATCTCAGCCTTGGTTTGGTCGCTCCTGTAAGACTGCATTACGCAGTAAGCAGGAGTGTTATCAAGCCTGGGCTGCGGCTTCGGTGACTCGGGATGTAAACACCAGCACACTTAAAAAGAAGTATAACTTCGCCTCCAGGTCCTTCAAAAGAGTTACTGCCAAGGCAAAGTCAGAGCACATCGGCAGAATTGGCGAGAAACTAGTTCGCCTTCCTTCGGGAACCCGTACATTCTGGTCTCTCGCCAACGCTGTCCAAGGGAATTTCTGTAAGCCATCACTACCATCTCTGCACAGGGAGGACGACTCACTGGCCCAAGACGCAAAAAACAAAGCCGACCTTTTAGGCTCCCTCTTTGCATCCAACTCGACTCTTAATGACGGGGGGAAGACACCGCCGACCATCCCGCGGTGTGAGTGCTCCATGCCGGATGTGCTGTTCTCACAGCGCTCGGTTCGCAAAGCACTTCTCTCCCTGTACATCCAGAATTCGAGTGGGCCTGACGGAATACCCCCAATTGTGCTGAGGACGTGTGCTCCGGAGTTGGCACCAGTACTAACGCGTCTTTTCCGGTACTCCTACTCCCAAGGCGTAGTCCCGAACTCATGGAAGACTGCTTTTGTCCACCCGATCCCGACCCGTCCAACTATAGGCCTATCGCGATCACCTCCTTGTTCTCCAAAATAATGGAATCCATTATTAACTGCCAGCTCATCCGGTACCTTGAGGATCACCAGCTGATTAGTGACCGCCAATACGGTTTTTGTCGGGGTCGATCAGCTGGTGATCTTCTGGTCTACCTTACCCATAGATGGGCGGAGGCAGTAGAGTCCAAGGGGGAGGCGTTGGCCGTTAGTCTGGACATTGCGAAGGCCTTCGATCGGGTTTGGCGCAAAGCGCTTCTTTCGAAGCTCCCTTCCTATGGGCTTCCCGAGAAATTGTGCAATTGGATCACCAGCTTCCTTGCAGATCGGAGCATCAAGGTCGTTGTAGACGGTGCATGTTCTGACTACAAGCCTATTAACGCTGGTGTTCCACAAAGCTGTGTGCTATCACCAACGCTGTTTCTTCTGCATATCAATGATATGTTGCTAACTGGTAACATTCATTGCTATGCGGATGACAGCACTGGTGATGCTCTATACACCGGCCGTGCCAATATTTCTCGGGAAAACGTCGCCGAGTACCGGAACAAACTTGTGTCTGAAGTTGAGTCTTTGCTGAACAAAGTCTCGGATTGGGGGCGACTAAATCTAGTCCAGTTTAATCCTCAAAAGAGACAAGTTTGCGCGTTAACCGCTAAAAAGAACCCCTTTGTCGTATCTCCTCAGTTTCAAGGCACTCCGCTTCTTGCCTCAGCCAGTATCGGAATCCTCGGCGTCGACATATCGAGTGACGTGCAGTTTCGTGGTCACTTGGAAGAAAAGGCCAAATTGGCCTCTAAAAAGCTTGGCATGCTCAGCAAAGCGGGACAGTATTTCATGCCGGCACACCGCCTGCTACTTTACAAGGCGCAGGTTCGGCCTCGCATGGAATACTGTTCCCATCTCTGGGCAGGGGCTCCCCAGTGCCAGCTCCTTCCACTTGACCGCATCCAGCGCAGAGCGGCTCGAATCGTCGACGACCGAGCCCTTTCCGATCGGCTTGATTCATTGGCACTGCGAAGAGATGTTGCATCCCTTTGCATTTTCTTTCGCATCTACCATGGGGAGTGCTCTGAGGAATTGTTCGGATTAATCCCAGCCGCCAAATTTCACGATCGCACATCGCGGCAGAACTCCCGATACCATCCACACCATCTGGATGATTGGCGGTCCACCACTGTGCGATTTAGAAGATGTTTTCTTCCTCGCACGACTTCCTTGTGGAATCGATTACCATCAGCGATTTTTCCGGACCGATACGACTTAGGGACCTTCAAGAAAAGAGCGTACTCCTTTTTAAAAGGCCGGCAACGCATCTGCAATTCCCTCCCTGGTGTTGCAGTTGTTCATGGGCGGCGGTAGTCACTTACCATCAGGTGAGCCGCGTGCTCGTTTGCCCCCTCTCCTATAAAAAAAATCCCGTGAGTGTCGTAAGAGGCGACAGTGGGAAACAAATCATGAGATGGGCAGCAGCGTCTTTCTAATAATGACTTAAAATAAAAATAAACTGTGGTTGCCAACCCGTTTGCCAAGCGTGCCAACTATGGTAAATACACCCCCTATGAGGCAACGGAAATTAAATATGCAAAATGTGTCATGTCCGATATCAGGATACGGCCGTCTTCACTTATAATTTCATTGTGAAATGTGAATACTAGGACCAGCAACTAGCAGGACCTCATTTTGGTTCTTAATATTCTAAAATTAATATACACGATCGTGTAGCTGTTTTACATGATACCTTTCACATACGTATAACAGTACCATTATTGAAATGTTTTAAATCAATATCGCAAGAACTCTTCTGGAATCTAGATCTCATGTAAACTTTGATTTCGTTTTTCATCTCGCTTGTACCAAAAACACGGAGCAGTACTTATGGCCAACATACCTTTAGTTTCAAAGTGTATATAATGTTAGTATTTTACATAGAGGCAAATGAGCATGCGGCTAACCTGAAGGTAAATAACTATCGCCGCTAATAAATAACTGTAACGCCGGGGGAATTGACCTGCAATGATGCCGACCCTTTAAAAAAAATAGGCTCTTTTCTTGAAGGTCCCTAAGTTGTATCAGGTCGGATAAATCGCTTTCAGTAGCCGATTCTAGAAAGAAGTGTGCAAATAGAAAACTTCTGGTAAATCGCACAATGGTGGACCGCCAATCGTCCAGACGATACGGATGGTATCGCGAATTTTATCTGTAATACAACAAGACAATCCATTCCACTTTTTTGTCCCATGGGTGTCATAAGGAAATGTCTTATGACAGGAAATGTCAGGAAGATGTCCTAGCTCTTGTGGCTTAGATATATGACTGTATAACTACCCTTCTAACGCCAGACGTAGATTGCCCAAACTGGCGACAAAGAGCAGCACCAACGGTGCATACGTCTCGCATCGTTGATCTCACTGTACTACGATCGACAATTCTCCTTTTAATTTTGGTGATAACGGGTACGTGAGGAAGTGATGACCTGGTAAGATATGTGTTGATGGATCACGTTTAGTTTCTCAACATCGATCTTATGAAAACTTACGTTAAGTACGTACGTACAGTGCAATTCATGTTTTTCCAGCTATGATTCATTGTTTCCTTCTGCTAAGTTAAATAAGCAAATCTACGAAATATTACTATTTAATAAATACATCAACATCATTCATCGTTACTGCCCTTAATAAATCAAATGCTGAACACAGGCTTCGCCCAAGGAATACCACAAAACGCTGTCCTGAGCCAACTGCGTCCATCGACTTTCTGGACATCCTACCAGGTCATCACTTCATCTAGTGGGGGACCGTCCTACACATCGCTTCCTGGTTCGAGGCAATAAGTAATAGCTAAATTTAAAAACGGAAATACTTATTATGTAAATCTTTATTATTATTTTAATTATTGAGACAGTATCACTTTTTTACTATGTTTTTATTATTGCTTATAAAAGCAATGACGTATTATTTCCCAGAATACCTGACGCGCCATGTCAAAAAACCCGAAACTGGTATCCCCGTCCACACTTATGCCTGACTGAGAGCCACACTGTACCAGTTTCTAGCGAGTGGGAGGCGGAAGATATTGGTCAGACTGTAAACACGTGCACGACTGCTAAAGAAGACCCCAGAAGAAGAAGATCTAACACTCCACTGCGAAGCGAAGAAGTCTTACTTGATAGGGAGTATCAGAGGTATGAACAAGCACCTATTATATAATATTATTGTGATATTCCGTGAGTAATTTTGAGTGTGAGTTGTGAGTGATTTTTTTTTTATAAAACTGAATTGACAAACGAACTCACAGTTCACCTGATGCTAAGTGGATACTGCAGTCCATGGACACATGCAGCCAACTTTAAACAAAGAAGGCTACGGCAAATGCGTTGTCACCTTTGTGGACTAAGATGGAATGTAATAATACTGGCTCTATAACCCTTCAGACCGTAACACATCTGTACACGCACTGCTATGTGGCGGCAGAAATAGGTAAGACGGTGGTTCCTACCCTGAGCGACTTAAGCAGAAAAGTAGTCGTACCTCCTAGATAACGGCACTTCCGACTGAGAGACGTGCCAAGAGGATGAGCCCTCCGTGAAAGGCGAGAGATAATAATTTCGTTCATCTTGTAAATACCAAGGCTGGCGACGGGGAGCAGAGTCGAAGGAGCTTCAAAATTGGACGGGTAACCATTATAGGATATGATAAATTTGTATTATTCGAAAATGTACATATTAGCGAGTTTACTCATAAAAATCGATGTCGATTTTAATGCTTATAGTTGCTCACGCTCGCTCTCTCTCTCTTTCTCTCTGTCTTTTTACTAAATGGCAATAGAGAGAGACAGGTATATAGAGGTAATTAATAATTAATTTGAGTAAGTGATAGTCAACGATTACGAGTCAAGCCTAAGACGTTTATTTTGACTATATATTTCACTGCAGGTTCATGAAAGCTGTGTGGCCTGAGGTTGCTGAGACTAAAACTGAAACCTCACGAAGCACGACTCCAGTAAGACAAGATGGAAGAAAGAAGAAAAAAGAAGAAGTCGAGAAGGAACCGGAAGTGAAGAAACCGGTTAAGAAGGTGAAATTGAGTAGTGAGGGTTGGAGTCAAGAGTCTGATATAGAAGAGGAAGTTGATAAAAGGTATTTATTTAAAATTTAACAGTAGCATAAAGAACAATGACAGACTTTCATATATAAAATTTGTTGAGAAGGAATGGTATAATGGTATCTATATATCAAAAATATGTTAAAATGTTAAGCATCAGTCCCTGAATAACTTTGTCAAAGAATTTAGTCCTGAGAAAGCGTCAAAAAAAAGAACAAACCTTTTTAGGTTATATCTTATGTCACTTGGAAAAAGTCATGCGTTCTGTGGTTGTTTGATATTAGCTTAATACATTCACAACATAATGTACCTACCTACATAATTGAGAGTTTTTAGATTATTGCATCTCTATTATATATTTGCATACTATAAATGTATATTTTGGCATGGCTCCAGGGCCTTTGTGTCATACAGTGACATTCTCAGAAGGGTTAGAACCCAGAGCCGTAAAGCCAGTAAAAAAAAACAGTGACATTTTGTTTTAGCTAGTGTTGCCATAACATTAAATGGAATTGTTACATAGTACTATGATTGAGATAAATGTATTACTGTAGGAAGTTCTTTGTAAGAGACTTATTTTCAACCATATCACTTTTATTTTTATTATTACTGATGGTATAGTTATTACTAATAAAAATAAATAACATAACATAAAAATATTTTGTGTTTGTGTTGTGTTGGTAGTCTTACAAAGTGTATACGAAAATAGTATGAATATAGTAAATGACAACACTTGAATAGAATGATTTAAGTCATTTGATATTCCCAAAAATGTTTCTTTTTTCTATGGCTTTAATTAAAATACATTTTTATTTGAAAAATCATAGAAAAATAATAAAACTCATTTTATATATAAGTTATTTCTACGCAATAATTTTTGTCAATCATTTTTCTGCCCTTGTTCTTTAAACTTTTTAAGATTTAATGACATTCTCCGCCAGTCAGTCCTGGTTATTAAAAAAATTAACAGTTCGGTAATATATAAATCGATGAATAATAAAATATTATAATAAAATAACATAGTCGTTAATAAACGCTTTGTCATCGCAAAATCTATAATACAAAACATTTTCTCATGTGATTCTCATATGATTTTTGTTTGCAATGTTGGTGCTATGTGAATAATCGATGGGTGCATGTGTAGTGTGTCGTTGCCTCATCGCGAGAATCAGGAAATGTGACGTTGTCACTCCGGATGCGTTAGAACACTAATTCGTGCAATGCTGGTATGGTACCATCATTAAATTCCGAAAACTGCATACAAACTTTAGACATGCAAAAAGAGCATTGAAAGGAGATGAACTTTGTTCCATACAAGCTTGGGCCCGGCGTGAACAAAGTTCAAATATATCTTATTTTGAAGATTTAATTATTTGTTACTTATGACAAAAATAATATTTTTGTAGGGCCTGGGGTTTTGTTTTTATTTTGCTTTATTATTTGTAGGTTATGTAGTGAAGTCACTCGTTCTTGGGATAAGTTGTTTTCCATAAATTGAAAAGAACACAAAAGGATGCCGTTTTTAGTTATTACTAAATAAAATAAAGTAGAACTCAAACTTTTCTAATTGTTTAATTATTTTCTGCAATTATTAATAAAATGTCATCTAGAAAAGCAGCCTGAGGCTGTACATTGTCTGTTCTATTCCTCTCAAAACCCAAGTAACACATTATTGTCATTATGTGGGCGCAACAACCTACTATCCTGTAAATCGAAAGAAAAGCCAAGGATCAAGTTAAATTAATTCACGAAAATAAAAATACGAAATATATCCACAAACACAACCACAATGCCAAATTCCCATGACAAGTTTAAACTTTAAAGTTTAAACTCAAAGTTACCAAGTCTCCTTCGAAACAGGCAATGATCAACGGCCATACAGCCTATTCAATCATGTCTGATATTATTCAAATATTTTGTTTAGTTTAATAACGTATCCTATTCAATCTATTTTCTAAATATATTTCTTTTATTCTGTATTAATCTCTACAGATTCTCCTCAATGTCTCAATATTATGAGTTTTTTTTTTGATACTGAAGGGTATTTATTATATAAAATAGCCTTCATTATCTAATGCCATAGACAAAATACATAAAAATATTTAAAAACGTTTTGTTTTTGCTGTGGTAAAAGCATTAGCTTTCGTTTTTCCGTTTTAAAAATGTTTTTATGATTGTCCCATACATTACAGAAATAAAAACCATTTAATTATGCTTATAATTTATCTTTATATTACCTACATATTTTTGTATAACTGTTACGAACGATGTCAAGCACCCAATTTCATACATCTCCTTTATGCGCTCTTCTCATGTCGCAATTCTCATTTCTCAAATCGCAATGCATGAAATATCTGTTACCAAACGTAAATGTTTTGAGACATCGTTAGCTGTCTCGTTCGCACTCGTTGGTTTAACACGGTGCATTGTTAAGGTGGCACAAGTCGCGGGCTCGAACTCGCTGGTGGGCGCGGCCAAAAAGCACGCTGTCTCACCTGGCATCGTGCCCGACAGAGATAGTATCAGTGATGAGCATATCGACACTAGTATTCACGCACGTCTTGTTCGTACGGCATTCAGAACCGTTTGAACAAAAACGAAGTTACACGAACACGATGCAACATTTATACTAATATAATAAAGCAGAAAATATAGATCTTTACTCCGTCTAAAAAAAAGTCCGCGATACCATATGTCTATTTTTTATATACTCGTATAAGCCACAATTAGGCATTTTTATTTTGACAAAAAAAAAATGAAAATTTAATTATTAGGCATGGCATATTTATCCTTACGAACGAAAGTTACTTCATTATCAAGACAATTTTTTGAAGATAAACTTCGTTGTTTATGCCATGTTTATATAGTACATAGTTGAGATAATGTAAAATTAAAATAATTCAATACTTGGCCTTGACGCGCAAACAACGCATAACCCCTAGCCCGGTGCGAACTGAGAAGCCAGTATTGAAAGCTTCTATGAGCGAGGTTAGGTTAGCCGTTAGTTCAATCATTATCTATATCTACACAAATAAATAAAATTGAAGTGTCTGTTATAATGTCAAAATAACAGCTTTTTACTAATTGCATATGAAATTATATACGCTACTTATAACACAATTTTTAACATTTTTCTGTCTGTCTGTCTGTTTGTTCCGGTTAATTTCCAAAACGGCTGGACCGATTTTGACGGGACTTTCACTAGTAGATAGCTCATGTTATAAGTAGTAACTTAGAATGCTTAAATTTTAGAAAAATTATTAGGCGTCCGTGCAACAAAATTAACACCCTAAACTAAATGCGGACGAAGTCGCGGGGAACAGCTGGTAGCTAAAATAAATTCAAAATTAATTGAGTGCTTTTATCTATCTCCCAGGTGAGCGTAACAATGATTAGTTAATTCTGAACTCTTTCATTTCACGTTGCTATGGTATTTTGAAAGTTTAATTGATTAATAAGTTTTTATTTTATTTATTTCTTTAAAAAAAAGACGTTACCCCCACACTAGGATTTTCTCGTGTATCGTGGAGGCAGTTTACAAACACAAATTGCACAAGGACAAACATCCAGACCCGGAACAATTATTTGTAGGCCATACAAATACAAATACTTGATCCGTGCGGGATTCGAACCCGCGGCCCCCTGCTCAGCAACTCATTGCTAAGACACTGCGCCACGGAGCCGTATAAGAGTATAAGAGGTTGATAGCAAATGTATCAAGAATCATTTCTTGCCTACACACTTTTCATGTATCGTGTACGTTTTTCTTTAAAACTGAATAAAACCGCGCATAGTATGCCGACAGATAAAATAAAAGTACTTCATTAATTATGACAATTTTTCCATACATTATTATCAAATAAAATATTTGATTGCAATTATAAAACTAGGTGTCATGTCATGCCATGCATCTCGGACACATGATGACGCGGGTGAAACCGCGAAATGATTAGGCGCTGCTTTATCGCTTCATATTATACCTCTGTGGCTCTATATACCTAATATAGATTGCTTATTTTATTATGTTTAGTTTTTCCGAGTGGTTATGCAGCGATCACTCAAGAGTTCGGCTTCGAACGTGTGTAACTGCAAAAATTATCCCACGGGAACGAAATATTTTATATTACTGGGAGCCGCGGGTTCGAATCCCGCACGGAACAAGTATTTGTATGGCCTACAAATAATTCTTCCGGGTCTGGATGTTTGTCCTTGTGCAATTTATGTTTGTAAACTGCCTCCACGATACAGGAGAAACTCCTAGTGTGGGTGTAACGTTTTTTAAATAAGAAAAAAAAAATTTGTATGGCCTACAAATAGTTGTTCCGGGTCTGGATGTTTGTAAACTGCTTCCACTATACAGGAGAAAATGCTAGTGCGGGGGTAATGTATTTTTAAAAAATAAAATAAAATAAAATTCCAGACTATAACCTATCTCTGAGCAAAATATCATCCAGGTCCCTTCAGCGGTTCTGGCGTGATTGAATAACATACATCCTTTCATTCGTCCATCCAAATATCCAAACTTTCGCATTTATAATATTTAGATAATAATTGTAATTAGTTCTGCTTACCTATAAATTTTTTTCAAAAATACTTACCTGTCTTCTTACTTTTTTTTATATATACTCAATATCACTAAACGTAAACACAGGTTTTTATCAAGACAAGTGACCCATCAAGATTGTTTTCTTAGTACTGACGTACCTACCTAAAGTTTACAATTTTGTGGCCACGACGCGGTGACGTTTTGTGACATTTTGTTGTATTGTAGGTTGTAGGTATCTAGGTAATAACAGTAGGTACCTATGAAAATCCCACATAATATACCTTGTTTGTCCGCCGCAAGAGTCGTCTAATAAATAATTAAACTGTTTTGTAATTCTTTATTTATTTATAACACTTGCATTGAGAGCCGTGGTAGCTCAGATGGTTATCGTTCGCCGTAAGTATCACACTACGCGAGCAACCCGGGTTCGATCCCCGTCGGCACCAATGAAATTGTTGCAATTTTATATAGTAATCGTATATTATAGAC